CTGGAAGGCCTGGGTTCCCTGGTGTCCTCCATGGCCTCTGCTTTTACACTTTCTACTTCCATTTCTGCGGTTCCAGGAGCCCCAAGAGGGCGAGTGTTCTCTGTATATGTTATCATCTGGTTGTGGGGCTCTGTATTTGTTCCCATCTGCTGCAAGAGGTAGCTTGTCTGAGGACGGCTGGGAAGGCATGGATCTGAGTATACACAATGTCCATTTTACTGCTACGTTCCTTTGGTTTTCCCCTAGGTCGCTGGGCTATAGTCTCAGGTTCTTGGCCACCTCAGCAGCATTAGGGATGGGCTCCATCTCATAAGTGGGTCTTAAATCAGATACCGGTTGGTTACGCCCACGAGCATTGTGCCACAAGAATTTCACCAGTGTATCTTGCAGGCAGCACCGCTGTAGAGCAAAGGTTTTGTAGCTGGGTTGGTGTTTACATTTCTCCTTTGATAGTGTGCAGGGTACCTTCCAGCACCATGAACACCAGGCCATTGGAGTGAAGGCCCTAGGCAGGTGCTGAATGAGTTGTATAGGTGTTGTCTTTAGCAATAGGGCTTTACCATCTTTTTGTCAAGAACCACCAATGGCCTTGGCAATAGCCTGAGTTGTTTCGGGATTCACACAGGACCCCTTTGGCCAACAACTCAATTAGATGTCACCCATTCCCTCTACTAGTTCTCTTTGAGGAACATCCAGTTGTGGCTCTGTCTTCCCCATTATTTGTTGACTTGATTTAGACCACCTTCACGTAAATATATATTCTAGGAAGTCCGATGGGGGATGTCCTTCTGTATGTTTCTCTTATTGGTTGATGAATTGATGAGGAATGTACTTCTGTGTTATGTTTATCTTATTGATTATTGAATAAAGTACTGTTTGGCCAATGAGGCAGCAAGTTAGATGGGACTAGGAGCCAAAGAGGATTCTGGGAAATGTAGTAGAAAAGTGGCGATCCAGGCAGGAAATGACATAGCAGGGAGACTCATATTTAAGCAAGGACAAACAGGAAGTGGTCCCTTTTCCCCTCCGCTCTTCTTCCAGCAGCGCAATGTGATCCACCAGCAAGGGAGGACACCAATGGAAGGTGTCTGATAAGTCTTATAAAATATATAGATTTATGATAATTAAGACTGAGCTAGCAGATGAGAAATCCTAGTCATTGGCCAAGCAGCATTTGTACATAATAGAAGTCTCTATTATTTTGTCCATCCACGTGGCGGTAGGGTTTGGGTGGCTTTTGGCGGAAAGATTTATCGTAACAATGAATAAAACACTGTTGGTAAGTAAGGCAGAAAGATGGGACTAGGAGACGAGAATTCTGGGAAAGGTGGCAGAGGGAGCCCACCAGAACAGTCGCCATGTAGCCAGCCAGGCAAAGGAGAAACAGGTCCATGCGTTCTCCAGTAGTCCAAGACTATGTGGAAATACACTGATTAATAGAAATGGGTTAATAATTAAGACAGAGCTAGCTAATAAGCCCTAGTCACCAGCCAACAGTTTTATAACTGATCAAGTGTCTGTGTGCTTATTTGGGGCTGAGAAGGGCAGGGGGACCTGGTAGGACAAGAAACCTTACAGTAACAGAAGCCTCTACTGTATTAAGTTTCCATACAAGCTTCAAAGGCCCTTATTTTAGCTATCCCTCCCCCACTTCTTCCCTGTTTAACCTCCCTGTTTCAGTCCCCCCCACTCCCTGCCCAACCATAACCACTTATCACATTTCCTCTTCCTAGAGACCTATACCCCCTCCCCCCAGTCCCCTACTCTCTACTTAACATCTGTGGTTATATGGATTGTAGCGTGCTTACCAATGACTTAACAGCTAACATCCACATAAGTGGATACACACCATATTTGTCTTTCTGGGTCTGAGCTACCTCACAACTTTTTCTGTTCTGTCCATTTACCAGCTAATTTCATTTCACTTTTTTAATGGATGGGTAACACTCCATTGTGTAAATGTAACATTTTCATTGTTCATTATCTGTGGATGGACATCTAGTTTGTTTCCAGTTTCTGGGCATTATGAATATAGCATTGTAGAAAGAATCACAATTTCAGATTAGTGGTGGAGAAAATACTTCCAGTTAGAATTCTGTAAGAATATTAGACAGTATTTTGTTTCAGTTACATTGATTTATTTTGTTGATTTCCCTCTTAGTCCTGCATGCACTGTTAGCACAAACACAGAAGCTGATCGCGCCCTCCCCAGAGGGGCGGCGGGCACACAGTCATCTGAGAGCTCCTCCATCAGCGGCCACCATCAGTGACCTACACTATGTTCATAGAAGAATGTACCAAATATCCTGTTTAATGTAAACAAGGCAGGAGGCCAACAGAGTATTAGTGACAATATTTTACAGGGCAGAAGTAGGATTATCCGTTTTAACATAGCAAGTGTCACTATGACATGCATATTTTACTTTATTGTACAACCCCAAATCTACAATTACCATCTAGTCTGTGGGTTTAGCATTTCACTGTTAACTTCTTCTGTTACACAGTAAACTTAATAGCTAAATGGTAACTGTAGAGTAATGTTAATAATTTATGGAGACATTACCATGAAAGTATGAAGTCATTCTACAATTTGTGCCCTGTAAAATCAATTGTAACAATCTTTACACTAGCAACAGTGTAAGCAAGCTAAGGGTTTTGGTCCATATACATATATAGACCAAATATGGTCCATACACACATATATATATACACCCACACATTTATATACACTCATGTACAAACACATTAATATATAGGTAAGCCACAAAGCTATGAATCCACTCATAGCTTCATATTGCACAGATACATTGTGAGAATGTTACATAGTTAACGACGTGAACACTATAATAAAAATTGGCAATGACAATCTGATTTTGTCAAGTGAAGAATGGCTCATTACTGAAAATAAACCCAAAGACTACTGTTAGGAAGTATTTTTAAAACAAACAAACAAAAAAAGTACACACCTATTTCCTATTTATCCAAACATGAAGCAGGCTAGAGTTCAGTTTGGAACTCACCATGGCAACCACTTGCTAAGGTGGTACTTTCTACCCACAGTCTGTGGATAACCGGAAACAGCCGGTCTCTGAGACTGAGAGAGGGGTGATGCAGCACCTGGTTTCCTTAACAAATCAACTTAGTTCCATGACTTGTGCTGACTCTAGGTCTGAATTAAATATGGAAGAGAAGAGAAGAGAAGAGAAGAGAAGAGAAGAGAAGAGAAGAGAATTCGGAAGAGAAGCAGGCTCAACCTAGCTGGTTACAACAACTTAAGAAAACTCTACTCTCAGAAGCAGCAAGCACACACACACACACACACCACAGTTAAAGCTTTAGCGAGCCTGTCTGCGTGGATTAGCACTAGGTCCTGCGGGCGAGTATTTGGTCTGGGAGGTAACCTCATTGCTACCATACCTACTGAGCACTAGCAACGCATGGAGAAATATCTGATACCTCTCAATGCCTTGTTTTAAATTTACCTCCATCCCAGTAGACTGTAGCAACATCTAAAAATGGAGGTGTTGTGGTGAATCTTGCACAAACTGGTCAACAAATACAACAAAACAAACCATTTCTCATCACTCAAAGCCACAGAAGGAAAACCACGCAGGGAGCCACTGTCTCCTGTTGTCACTGTTTTACTTAACGGATTTCTCGAATGAGCAAAGAGAGATTTGCATCACGCTAGAAATGTGAGGTTGTTTTTACAGTGATGATCATTCTAGAACTGAGGCCATTCATATCTTTTGGTGTTTTGTTTCTAAGTAGCAAAACTGAACTATGACATGAATCAGAAATAGGCAAAGTGTCAAACATGCTCTGAGAACACTCCATGAGCTGTGGCTGTGCACCCACGTCTGGTGATGTCACAGAGGGGTGGGGCAGACCCTCTAGAGCTAAGCCTCCTGACAGTGACAGGAAAGTGCCTGCTGTTTAACCCTTCAAGGACAGGGACGTGAGCTTCAGGGCCATATCTGAGTGCCTGCACTAGTCACTTGAAGACTACCAAGACAGAGAGACAAGGTGGCCTGCAGCTGCATCCTACAACTTGGCTAACCTAGACATTCCTGCATCCAGAGCACTCTCTCTCACACACACACACTCTCAGTTTCCTCAAATCCTTTAAGGTGTAAACTGAACATTCTGAAGACAAAAGACTGAACAAAATGAGAAAAAATGTAAACATCAATAGGCCCTTGGCATTCTGATTGCTGCTTAAGAGTTACCAGTCAGTCCACACCTGGACACGACCACTTCAGTAATAAAATCAATTATAAAGCAATTTCATAAAGCAATTCTCAGAGAGGGAACGGGGGAGGTCTCAACCCAGGATGTGTTAATTAGCTTTTAAAAATACCATTTTAGCAAACACTACCAATGATGAGCATAAATCCAATGCCACTGCAAAAATGACAGTTTAAATAAACCGGGAACCACACATGAAAACCACGAACATGGCTATGTGCACAAAAGAGTAAAAGAACATTTCTTTAAAAAATATATATATATATATATTAATTAATACTTTCTTTATCATATTAAATTGTTATCTTACAAAAGCTGAGGAAGGTGATGTCGCTCTGTGTGTTTTATCTTCTACAGATTCTTTTGGTAGTTCCTCAACTATGTTTTTTTTTCTCATTTACAGTTTTCTTAAATATTTTATATGATAAGAATCTTACCCTTAAAAAGTTATAAAATAAGTGATTTTTTTTTTTGCTGCTTATTAATACAAAAGAATATAAGCATTTGAGTCCCAGAGAATGTCAAAATGCTTTGCTGCCTGGAAGGATATTAAAATAACAGAAACCAGCAAAGGCTCAGCTGACATCAGGAGTTTTGCAGCTTTCAGTCACTGGAAATGCTGTCTCCTGAAGTTCTGATTGCATCCCGGGTTTCAACAACGTGTGGTTTATACAGAGGATTGTGACAGAGCCAGGGGAAGTGACATCAGGCCCTTCCGCCGACAGCAGCCACACCGTGGATTGCAACTTCATTTCAAGTTCTGATTGCATCCCGGGTTTCAACAACGTGTGGTTTATACAGAGGACTGTGACAGAGCCAGGGGAAGTGACATCAGGCCCTTCCGCCAACAGCAGCCACACCGTGGATTGCAACTTCATTTATACGGCTTTCTGTCCTCTCGTGGCTGGGTTTTTCGGATGAAATGTACACAGTAACTCGGGTTCCCAGAGACCTGGGTGACTGTGGCCGAAGCATGGTGATGTCCACTCAGGGTGTGGTGGAAGCATGGTATTTCACAAAGGCAATGGCCGCCAGCTCCTTGCAGAACTCCTCTAAGACAATCACGCCCTCCAGCAACGTGACGTGGTCAATACTGGAAAAGACAGACAGTAAATCAGGGTAACAGCACAACGCTGAGTTGTGTCTGATTTCTGGAAAAGTATATAAAACACTGACTGACTCACATGGGGCCTTCGGGCTCCAAACCGAGCAGTCGCTTTCTGACCAGGAGAAGCTTGGGGGTGAAGTCTTGAATGCGCTGAATCCGAACCATCAGGTCTCCAACAACCTGCATCAATCAGAAGCAAGAGTTCAGCTCTCAGACAGAAGCGCCGTCCTACCTGTCACAATTATCTCTGACCAACCAACTCCTATTGACTCTTCAAAACGTAAATGTCAGGGTTGGGAGGTGACTCAGTGGGTGAGGTGCTTGCTGGGCCAGCGTGAGCACCTGAGTTCGGATCCCCAGCCCACCCACTGAAGTTGGGAGCAGCGGTGCATGTCTGTAACTCCAGCACTGGTGGGGGACACTGGGTAGCTGCCCAGCTGACAGGGTGAGCTGTGGGCTCAGCAGAAGACCTGGCCTCAAAAACTAAAGTGGAAGACACCAGACATCAACCTCTGGCCAACACAGCAGCACACATGGCCAAACACACCTACATATGCATGCATGGGCCCATGCACACGCACACATGTGCGCACTACATAGATAAGACAATTTTAGATTTACCACATGTATGTATATATACCACATTCATGCTCGGGGCCTGTAGACTTCAGAACAAGGTATTGGATGCCCTGAACTGTAGTTAGGGATGGTTGTGAGCCTCCCTGTGGGCGCTGGAGACGGAGTCTGGGCCTTATAAACAGCAGGTGCTTTTAACCCCTGAACTGTCTCTCTGGTTCATGTATCAACAGTTTAAATGAATTTTCTTAACTCTGATGGTTCAGAGAAGAGCAGTTATCTGCAGGCAGGAGACACATTCGACTTTACACTAACTGCACACAATCAGATAGGATGCTGACCAGGCAGCTGATGGACCCCGGAGAACAGGACGTTAATGAACTCACCCTGACGATCACCGAGAAGAGGGATCTGCAGCCAGAGGCCAAGCTCACGTAGGGATCCAGAAGGTACTCGTGGATGTGTGGGTGCGGGAAGAGAGACAGTCTGGACAGCACGGAGGTCACCTGCAGGTTCACGTCATACGGCTGCGAGGAAGCAAGAACACAAATACTCATCTCGTGCTTCCGGGACACTTCAATGTGGCTTCCCGCTCCCCTGCCTCTCCCAGCCTCTTCTGCAAGGGAGACACAGGCAGCTAAATTAGGCCTTACCATGGAAGTCAGGGCATTTACTGCACAGTGCTGAAACTTACAAACAGAAAACAGACACAGACTACAGGGAGACAAAGCTGCAAGACAGCAGATGGCTGTTCTATGTAGGCTGATGCCAGTGTGCCAGATGTAGTATTAACTATGAACCACAGAGGACACATTGACCCAAAGTCCTAACGAAGAAGGTGTATCGACTTTTAAACATAGTGTAACTTTAGGCCTATTATCCATAACTCAACAGCTCCTCAGACATCTCTTGGGCATAGTACCACAACCCTAGAACTTAATTGTTCATTGCTGTTACAGGCCATAGATAACAGCATTAGAGAGAATGGTGTCAGAACTTCCGATGGAGCCCATGCACCCCTGCTAGCACTCTTTCCAAACAGACACAGGGACTGGTGTACCAAAAACTAACTACCTAGAAAAGATAGGCAAGGCAGCCTGGGGCAGCCAAGGTGCTCAGGACCAAGTTTAGAAGTGCAATAGACTCTTGTTTTATTACCATTCACTGGCTACAGTGAAAACCAACTGCCAACTCTCTGGTACTCAGTAGAATGGCTGGGAACCTGGCAGGAGACAGCAGACATGGGGATGAACACAAGTTTCCCCTGTACTCTATTAAGGTATCCAGAACACAGCTCCTGGCTTTAAGTTCAACTGTAGGCTTTCTTACTTACTATGAACTCATAAACACAGGGATTTTTCTTTGAGTCACCCTTTTTCAAAATCTTGCCTTAAACAAGACAAAGGAAAGGAAATCTGAAGTTCCCGTAAAGGACTGAGTTTAAAGTATGTTTTCTGGATTCCTAAAGTGCTGTTTTGTTTTCTTTTATTTTGTTGAAAATAGACTTCTTTCATAATATATATTCTGATTATGGTTCTCCCCACTCCCCCTTATTCAGATCCTTCCCTTTCTGTCTCTCCTTAGAAAACAAGCATCTAAGGAATACTAGCACACACACACACACACACACACACACACACACACACACAGAGCCAGCCATTGACTGTGCGGATTCACAGCCTGTGGACAGTCATCTAACAGAAAGATAGGATCAGCCAGGATTACTTCATGAGTCAGCCACTCCAGTGTGAAATCAGTATCTTCTGATGCGTTACCTGATCAAGAATTCTTCCCATTCTGTCAAATAAAACTTTCAAAAAATGTCCTTCAAAGAAGGCTGCTTCTAAGTCACACTTCTCCAGTGGTTTGGGGGCACCAGGCCACTCCCATCGTAAACAGATGGCACAGTAGTCTCGGAACTGGGGGAAAGCATTACAGATAATGTGTTAGACAGAAACGGATGGGGATGAGACAGAAACAATGTCCTCAGATACCGTATAAAGAACCACATGGCTGTCACTGCACCTGAGGTGTCAGGAGGGAGTGACCGCTCAGCTCCTGACTGGGAGATGCTGGGGACACTACAATGCCAGGAGCACATGGAGGCTGGAGAAAAACGGTGGATTTGACCTCCAGTACCCGCTAAGTCCCTTCCTTTAAGGGACAGAATCCTTCATTCACCATGCTGGCAGACTTGGAGAACATTGACAAGTTTGGGAGCCAAAGCCTCAACTGTGTCTGAGGTGTTACATGGAATGTTACATGGAATGGATGGACGATATCTTGTGCCAAGCGCACTTACTGTTCTCAGAATGTACAGATACTAGGCACGTCACCATGAAAGGATGGAACACTGCTCTGAGGGCCAATGCTGACCCTCAGAGTCTTGTGACCACCATCAGTGACCAGAACGGAAAAGGGAGAGGTAGCACATACAGCTTGTGTAATCTGACTAGGCAGTTTCATATTGGCCAATAATTGGGAGTTTTTTAAAAATCTATTTTCATTTTTCTAATAATTCATTCCTTATGGTGTTTAATGAAGTCTTAGTATATGGTAACATGAGATAGAAACTAGTCCTGGAGACCAATGGTGGCACACACCTGTAACCCGGCACCTGGGAGAGGGAAGCAAGAGAGTAAGGCCTTAAGAAAATTCAAGGCCAGCCTGGCTAACCTGAGACCCCACATCAAAAGTAGGTAGGTAGGTAGATAGACAGACAGACATAGATAGACAGACAGATATAGACACAGATATAGATGATAGAGAGATAGATGATAGATAGATGATACAGAGATGGATGGATGGATGGATACATGGATGGATGGATGGACGGATACATGGATGGATGGATGGACGGATACATGGATGGATGGATGGATGGATACATGGATGGATGGATGGATACATGGATGGATGGATAGATGGATGGATGGATGGATGGATGGATACATGGATGGATGGATAGATGGATGGATGGATGGATGGATGGATGGATGGATGGATACATGGATGGATGGATGGATACATGGATGGATGGATGGATGGATACATGGATGATAGATGGTACCAGCAGATTGACGTCTTATTTCTCAGGTGAGCTGCCTCCTTTCTGTCAACTGGATGAGGTAATGGGAGGGGCAATGTGCGCATTTTACACTCACCCCTATCCCCAAACCAGTCAGCTTTGTCTCTTACCTGCCTATGAGCATCTCTGAGGTAGGTGTCATACCCAGTGCCCTCAACATGGTAGGATGACTTTGCTTCATCTGGTACTAAACAGAGGAAACTTAAAAGGAAAAGGCCACAATGAGAAGTCTCCACTACAGTACATACTAAGCATCAAATTACACAGCAAGCTTAGTCAGCTATATACAAATGCAAACAGAAATTTGAAAAATCACAGTGTGCATTGTTTTAATAAATGGTAGCTCAGATTGTTAAGTAAAGGTTTTATTAAAAAATAACTCCACATGTAACAGAAGCCTAAAAAAGACTTAATACTGTTGTCACAATAATGGGTTGCTTTATTTATTAATCTCAAAAACTAGCTTTAAGTAACTGAACTTGAGATTTTTTTATGGACTGTAATTTCAAATTTGAGCCAGATGCAATTATTTTATGTCACTTGCCAGGACCAGGCATATCATTGACAGCATTAAAAGCAAAGACACTAGAGAAAATTGTCATGAAGAGACATTTTAGAAAAATGTAAAACCAGATTCCAAAATAGTTCAACACCTAGCACACATACATATCTAGTGAACACAGTTTGTCAAATTGGTGCTTGGCAATGTTGCTGTAATTGGCAATTATGTAATACTAAGTCGTCTCTATTAGAACCTTGGCACACTTAACCATCACTTCTTTTTCAATTATTCTTTCCTTCCTTCGTTGCTGTGCTAAAGGTCAACCCCAGGAGCAGACACAGACTGTCCAGGTGCTCCACGAATGGGCTGAGAGAAATCCACTTCTCTATTGAGCTGGGCTTTTCTCCTGGCATCAACTGTGGCCCCTGCTGTCATTTGCCACACAATGAGAAAAACAAGCTAATGGCACCTGTAAAGACTGAATTCGCAGTGACATTCCTGTAACGGTCTAAGGGCAGAGCTGCCAGATTCAGAACTAGCCAATCACACAGTGGCTCACCTGTTGACGATTTTATGGACTTCTGTCTTGCCATCATTTTTGGGATGGTCTGGGCTGGCATGGGGTGAACTGATCCATTCTTGGTTAGGCAGAGTGTTATCTGGTGAAATGTCAGTAAATAATGGATCTTCCTCCAGATCTCTAAGTTTAATTTAATGATGTATAAAAAACAACATTTATTATGACATTTTCTAAACCAAAAGATTCTTTGCTAGTTTCTGAGAAATACTATAAAACTTTTCTAATACAAAGAATAAGGACTAATGTAATTTTAATATGCAAGTTCCCACTTTACACTAACAATCTCCAGGGCTCATTGCTACTTTTCTTAATGGGCTCAGTGAGCATTTAGCATCTCCTGGGATTTATGTGGAGCTGTTAAACTACCCGGGAGGGACCCCGCTCACTGTCTGGGGACACACTGGCACTTACAGGGCTCCTGCCATCAGCCCATTCTCCACTGCATCCTTGTCTTCCGGGCATAAAGGTTTGTATTCCGTATAGTTTCTTTCTTCAAGGTTTCTTAGGACCAAGTTGTAAAGGATGTGCTCGTTGGGTTTTTGTAGAAGATGCTCAAACATCCTCAGGGTCATTATGCTTATCTGAAAACCAAGGTTGGCAAAAGTCGAAGGAAAAAGTCTCCAGTCAGTTACCCTTTTTGCTGTGTCACCAGTCAGACTGCCAGGTGTTAAAGCCACATAAAGAGACTCATTTGAAGGATCACAAGCAGAGGCCAGGAAGGTGGCTCAGTGGGTAACAGGGCTGACAAACCAGTCAGACTGCCAGGTGTTAAAGCCACATAAAGAGACTCATTTGAAGAGACTCACAAGCAGAGGCCAGGGAGGTGGCTCAGTGGGTAACAGGGCTGACACCAAGGGTGATGATCACCTGAGTTCCATCCTGGGACACACATGGTGGAGGAGAAAACTGCCTCCTGCAAGCTGCCCTCTGACCTCTACATGTGCACCGTGATGCATGCTGCCGCCACCACCACCACCACCAAATTAATCTCAAGTACATTAAAAGACAGCATTTCAAAGACTCTAAGCCCAGCACTGTCGCGCATGGCTTACCTCGTCAGATATGTGGTCACAATGTTCGATTAACCTATGTCTTAGGGGATGCCTGCTTATCTCTGACAGAGTTTCTGGCTCCCTCTGTTCTCCCAGGATGAAGACCACCATTTCCTGAAGCAGGACGTCCGAGGTCACTTGCCGAACAATGCGGTGCAGCAGAGCGGTTGACGACAGGATCCCCATCTCGGAGCTAGGTGTGGCAGACAGGCGGTCAGGGGAGAAGTGACAGGGACAGTGGTTACTTCTGTAAGGGGAGAGGGCACTCACGTCTGCATCAGCTGAGGCTCCATAACGCCGATGAAGAACCTTTCATGGATGGCTTTGGCGAGAGCAACAGCAGCAGTCTGGAACACACCATCAACGTCAGTAAATGGACTTGGGCCTGGAGACCCTGACTCTCACTAGAAGCCATGGGGACGTGGGGGCCAAGCATGGGTCCCCTGCAAGAGCAGCTACTTGCTTTTATCCCACCTACTCTGCCCAAACTAAAAGGAACAGGGGGGGGGGAATCCCAGGAACTTTAATTAACATCTCCCCAAGGGGAAAGCTGGAGGGGAGTCAACGCTGCCTAGGGAGTGGTGCAAAGCACTGACTGTGACAATTAAGGCTCAATTAAGACCCTTCTGGAAAGTTTTACTTCATAAACACATTTTAAAGTGACCCACAAACAGTAAAGCATTCAAACCTTTTGTGCTTCCTTGATGAGCTGATCACAATAATCAAACCAGGAGAGAAATGAAATTAAGGCTCGTTTCCCTGGGAAAGCCGAGGCATCTTCTTTATGGCTGTACGAGTCCAACCTGCATGACACAGGGGCAAACTGAGGCCAGGTCAGTGCGCACACAGCCCTTTGGTTTACAAGGAGAAAGGCAGCCCCTGAACGAACTCGTCCCATACACAGAGCGGTGCTGGACCCCAATCAGAGATCAGAGGAGACCCGGATAGGAGATGCCCAACAGCTCTCTCCTTAGGTGGGAGAGGCTAATACAGAATACCGCCCCATTGCCATCGCCAGGGACTTGACCCAGGAGACAGTGGATGAGCAAGGGAACAGAAGGGCTGCCAGGGCGGCTGCTCTTTTTCTTCCCTAAAAGGCCATGTGCTCATGACGTTAACAAGTGTGGCTGCCTAAGGACTCACGCAAAACACAGCGTGGGAGGACAAAAGCAAAGGGTAGACGTCGGGGGAAAATGACAAAAGGTAAATAGATTAAAATACTAGGCTGATTGCAAACTGGACTCAATGGATTTGGAGGAAGGCGGGGGTGGACCTCAGAGGAGCTGGGGAGAGGGGGCGAATACGATCAAGACATTCTGTGTGAAATTCTCAAATAAATATTCAATTTTTAAGAACAATGAAGATATTAGGCTGCCAGAAGGGGGCATGTTTGTGAATAGTTTTAAATGTTGCTTTTATTCTAAAACAATTTGTAAATGTTATACAAAATTTGTATTTTTTGAAGATTTTTATTTTCAGTGCCTGTGGGTATTGTGTAGAGATGTATGGGTGAGTGCAGGCTCTCATGGAGCAAATCCCTGGAGTAAGAATTATAGGAAATTGTAAGCTGTCCTGTGCAGATACTGTTAACCAAACTCTGGACTTCTGGGAGAACAGTATGAGCTCTGAACTTCGAGCTGACTCTCTAGGCCCCAAATCCTATTTTCTAATGAGAATAAAGTGGGTGAGTTTGAGAAGCAGAACTGAAACAGGGAGTCCACAGTGCAGCCACAGGACCTCCCAGCCCCTAGGACAAGGGGAAGTTATAGTTCGAGGCCAGCCTGGTCTATAAAGCAAGCCCCAGGCCAGCCAAGGCTACAAACAGAGACCCTGTCTCAAAAACTCGAGGCCAGCCTGGTCTATAAAGCAAGCCCCAGGCCAGCCAAGGCTACAGAGACCCTGTCTCAAAAACAAAACAAAACAAAACAAAAGGAAATCCCTCTTCTAAAGATTTCTGTTGTTAATGTAACAACCGGTTATTGATCTCAACATAAACCTTATAATGGGCAAAATAAAAGGATCTGGACTCCATATCCCTGGGCTGTTGCCACACCACTTTGTCACCCCTAAGTGACAAGTACAATTTGAGTCTCAAGAAAACACTCCATTTAGTAGAGCTAGCTTTTCAAAAGGATGCAATCCTGTCATTGTAAAGCAGAAGGGAATGCAGAATGCAGGCACACAGGAGGACCCTGTGGGAAACGGAGCAGTGCTTACCCCCAGTTAACGGCCTCCACAGTCTCAATGTCTAAGGGATCCACTGACTGAGGTAGGGCCTTGTACAGGGAGGTGAGTCTGCCGGTCAGCAGCTCACTCAAGCAGGTGCTCTGAGCAAGGCACTTGGCGGCCGCAGGCTCCGGCAGACTCACCAAGAGCATTAAGCCCTCGCAGGCCTTCACGGCTATCCGACCGTCCTGAGGAAGAACACACGGTTATCTGCAGAACCAAACGTGAAAGGATTCAGTGTTTCTCACTAAGGGGAGAATAAACTTGTTGTGGAGAGCAAGACTGTGACTCACAGGGCTCCTTGTCAGGGTCAACAGAGAATTCACTAGGTTGTAATCCTGCTTTGGTGGAATGGCGGAGGCCTCTGGCAGTGAGGTGACATTGAGGTCGTCCAAGCTTGCAGACAGGTCATCCATGTAGTGAGGGTGCTCATCCTCCGACTCTGTGTGCCCCGCCCCAGTGGCTCCTGACAGCTCCTGAGGCTGGTGGCACTGGCTGCTGTCTGCTGACACAGTGGAGGCGTCTTCTGTGGTGACACTCAGAGTTGCTTTGGAAGCCAGTGACTTGGACTTGTTCTGAAAAGGTGAGTGTGTCTCTGAGGATCATGTTCAAAACAGTGAGGGCCCAAACCCAGAGATCACACAGAAATGGCCTCCTCCTTCCTTTCTGGTATACTGGGGATCACGGCCAGCGCTCACTCAGGCTACACAAGCTCTCTTCATCCCCCGTCAGCTATGCCTCCAGCTCTAAAAGATTTGGGGTCAGAGGTGGCACTGATATGTGTGGAGGCTCCACACATACTTGGCAAGTTGCTGTACCACTGAGCTGATCATCCCCCGTCAGCTATGCCTCCAGCTCTAAAAGATTTGGGGTCAGAGGAGGCACTGATATGTGTGGAGGCCCCACACATACTTGGCAAGTTGCTGTACCACTGAGCTGTACTTCCAATCCTTTCTTGAATTATTTATTTTGAAATAGGGCCTCATCTAGTAGCTCAGGCTAACCTTAAACCTATTTTGTAGCCCATGGCAATCCTGCCTTAGCATAAGTGGCCTTCCAGCAGCTGGTGTACGAGACCCGTGCCAGAGGCCCAGCTTGGATTTCCCTATGACTAGCATTCCAGGTGCCTAATTAAAGTGGTACTAAGTGTTACGTCAAATGGAAACCTACAGACTCAAGCACATTTCAGATGTGACGTAGTCAATGAAGTTACCAACTCCTCACACTAATTACAAGCATTTGACTCTGACCACACAATGAAGGGCATTAGCGACAGCTACCTGACTACTGAAAAGCTCTAGTACTCATGCCAGCTGCAGCTTTTTTGTTTACTAAGTTATTACAGATACATCACCTCAATGTTAACCCTGCCAGGGGAGGGTGCAAATCCTCCAAAGTTCAGCGGTTGCCAGCATCAGACTTGAGATTTCCACAGAGGCCTCAAATTCTCCTTAATTTGTAAGAACTTTTTTCTAAGGATTCCCAAAATCTTAACCTCTGCTTAGGAAAACATAAACTACTCTGAGGACATTTTCATTTGTGTCTCAGGATTCCATTTGCTTACCTGATCCCCACATCCACACACAAAGACTCTTAACCAGTTTCAAGGCAAATATGTCTTGCTTCCCATTTGACATAGAAGAGAAATCAAGTTATTCATGAGGTAAAGCTCCCCTGACACCAGTCTCACCACAGGCCTGTCACTGACTTCATCACTGGGTATGGGGAAGGCTGAAAAATTCACAGACCCCCGCCCCAGCACAGTCCTCAGAAACCATTGCCATGGCTGTGTGAGTGTCACTAACCCAGTCTTGAGACAGACGAGCTCATGGCACACACTCCAAACAACTCCATGCAGTGAACATCTTGCCAACTGCCTACAGAATCCACAGCATCTGATGCTTTGCAAAAGAGGACCACAGGCTGAAGAGACAGCTTGGGGTGAAGGCACTTACTCCAAGCCTTGTGACCGGAGTTTGACTCCCAAGACCCCACAGTGGAGCAAACTGGTTCCTACAACGTGTCCTCTGACCTCCACACATACCTCAGCTAAACTGAGAATTCTAGGCCAACCTGGGCTACAGAGTGAAATCCTAGCTCAAAAATGAATACCAGCTGCACATGCCAGCAGAGGTGGAAAGAGTACCCCAAGTTCAAGGCTAGCCTGGTCTACACAAGTTCGGGCCAGCCTGGGTCACATAGTGAGATAGTGAGATCCTGTCTCAAAACACAAGCACGGTGAAGAAATCTCATAGGCAGCCAAACTAACTTATTTTTCATAAAATACATTAAGAACGAATGAACTATAACGTGGCCTAAGTAACATATGTTTAGCAATCCCAATTCTTGACTAACAGAACTGTTAAAAAGATAATAATGGCACATATTAACAGAAAACAGGCATTTCATGGTCCTAGTGCTACACACAGAATTAAACTCATGCAATTTTGCAGCTGAGCTGCCTGCCAGCCTCCAGGAACGCTGCAGACAGGAACTCAAAATTGTTCAACAACAGAAGACAAAAACAATACATTAGAATGGCAAACACTAAGAACCTCATAACACCGAGATGGTGGGCACCCACATCACAGGGCTGCCGAAGGAGCTGACAGCAGAGCTGCTCTCCCTAAGATACCCCTCAAGGGTTTCACTGCTGAGAAAAGGAAAGGGCCCCGGGGCAATGTTAAAAAGCTCACCTCCAAACACAGGGGCCTCAGCTGAGGTTCCCAGCACCCACCACAGTGGAGTAAGCCTATAACTCCCACACTGGGCAGGCAGAGACATAAGATCCCTGGGGCTTATGGCCAGACAGTTCATCCTAACTGGTGAACTCCAGGTTCAGTGAAAGACTCTGTCTCTGTCTGTCTCTGTCTGTCTGTCTGTCTGTCTGTCTGTCTGTCTGTCTCTCTCTCTCTCTCTCTCTCTCTCTCTCTCTCACACACACACACACAGATACACACACACATACACAGACACAAACATACACAAGAGATATGTTTACATTTTAAAAAATCTAAAAGAAAAAAGATCCAAGGGATAAAGTAAGTAAACAAAAGCAGAAAGCGAACATACTTTATTTCCCTTTTTAAAGGTGTAAGTAAAATTTAAAATATCAATTAAAAACAGACCATATCTTGACCATGGCTATAAAAATAATACAAATACTGCAGCCACCCAACAGGAAACAGAGCTGCTGGTAACGCAAGACTCTGTACAGCCCTGCTCACCTCTGCACCTGCTGTCTGTCCTTCCCCCACCACTCCCCAGATCAGAGTATGTCTGGCTCAGCTGCATTCCTTGAAATTCTCGTTCCATGGTGATTTCAAGTTGAAATAAACAAAGATCTCAAATGAAAACTACTGGTAGGCAGAACTTGCAGACCTGAATTGCTCCTGAGGAGCTGCAAGCCTGAGGAGTGTGGCTTACCTCCAGAAAAAAGTTAACCAAGTAGGGGTCCTGTTTCAGCTTGGCACACACAGTGCAGAGGAACTGAATCTCTTCGTTTTCTGTCGGCGTTGCAAGGACCTCACCACAGAGTCGGATTAATTTCTGTCAAAATGTTTAAACTTTAAAACTCTCTCTGTGATATTATGGAGGTAAAGTAAAAAGAAAATGTATATAATTTTACAGAGAAATATAGACAGACAGAAGAAAACCCAAATGTTTGCTAATTTTCATGCTATTAGAATAATTTCCTCCATTATTTTTACTTCTAGAAAAACAATTCAAAATGACTTGTGTAGGAACTCAATGTGCTTTTAATTTGAAGTCGGGGAGGTGGTACCTGCACAGGCCTGTGGACATTGATGTGTGGAAGCAGGGGCTGCCGGATTCTTCCCAGAAGCTTGGTGTAGAACAGTAAAACCTGCTGCTTCATCCCTGGAGGACACTGAGCACAGGACAGATAACACACACAGATGTTCACAGCAGGACAGACAAGGTCTGTCAACATAGCCTCCCTCAAAGTCAATGCCAGTGACCAGGTAATGACTTTGCCCTAATGAAATTTTCCATTAATAGTCATGACTGGCATTCTAGAAACACAACTATACACCTGAGACCATACCACAGCACACAGGAGCACAGTCTCAGGTGATCACAAGCCAGGGCGAGCATACACTATTGAGACTAGCATGCTTCAGGCACCGCCAGACTGGTGACTGCTGAGACAATACGGGCCTATGAGAGCAGACTCCTTGACAGACCAAGGACATATCTTGTCGTAACTAATACAAAGACATTAATACAAGGGGAGCTTGTGCACTGACTCCTTTAAGCTAACTGCAAAGATACAGGGACATGAGTCAGCCAAGTCGTATGTTCTGTAATAAAGTGGGTGACACTGCCTGCCGACACACAGCTACACAGTCATGAGACATGTATGCCACAGGGTCATCACAGACTGCTATCTACAAACAACCTAAAATGTAATCTTTATTCAGATAAAATGCTAGTGATATTTATAATCACTTGTATCAAAAATAAATTTACTGGCGGTACAATTACTACCATCTTGCTGAAACATCAAACTAATTCAATTCGTTGGTGTAAAACCCTTCACTCCAAAGGGTGGGGGTGGGGAGCATGGCGAGGTTCATGTTATGAGGGCAGACTCTCTCCTTAGAAAAGGGTGTACTGAACTCAAATAAATTGGGGGTACTACAGACTTTCTTAAAAAATTGTCTTTGATATGATTTACAATCATGTGGTATTAAAATGACTATCATTTCATTTTAGTTTTCACCTTACAGAAATTCACAGAACCACTGTGTTTCTGAGGTGGAGGAGGGTCCTACAATCACTTCCAGCCACCCAAACTGCAGTTCCAACAACGCAGGTCACACCAGAGTGTGCAGTGGGCAGCATCGTGGAGCTTGTAAATACTATGGTGTCCACACCATGACAAAGCCAGCCGACACATTCTCAGAACATAACCCCTGTAGCTAAGGATACATGAATTTGAAGCTCTGTGGCAAAAACACTATTTCTGGTATAATATCAGATTTGCAAAGATTTTTCAAACTTCATTATGCTTAAAATTTGCACTGCACCCACCATGATGATTCAGTGAGTATCAGAATAGCCAAGCACGATCTTTTTAGTGCCCCGGCCTCGTACAGCACAACGGTCTTGTCGTTCTCATCCCCTCTGACTGTGAGCACATGTACTTGAGTTTATGTTCACAAATGTCACCCCAGGGTTCTAAGCAGCTAAGCGGGAGTGTGATCCTGAGCTCTGGTAGCTCTGCTCTCTCTATGGATGGCCCGGCTGCACAGAACACACAAATCCCCCATGTCCTCAATCTTAGGCCAAGCACCACCAGCTGCCATTCCTATCTCTATACCTGAACTGGAGCTTTGCCTGCATTACATAGGGTGGGTCAGGGACTTACGTCGGCTTTCCCTAAGGTGTATAATGTTTCCAAGATCTTATGGTGGAGCAGGTATTCCATACATGGCCCCGTCTCTCCAGATTCTCGCTCATTTTCTTCTTGGACCAGTATGTCTAACATCTGATCCAGGTGGGAAGGAATGTTCGTATCAGTCACTGGGGCTTTATCATCTAAACAACAGAAAAATCATCATCAAACCCTTGAAAAACTTCTTAGGCTTCTTGTGTACAACTACATTATCCAATCCCTCCACCCCTGTTCCAACTCCAAACTGAACAGAGTTCTAAACCACACACCTGAGGTGTGGTCACAATGTGGCTGTCTTTGTTAGAAACAGAATATCCCAACTGTGATCCACTGTGTATCTTGTCGGTGAATACTCCTCTATTGTCATTTAGAAATGGCCTCTGAAAGGGAAGACCTGATTCTGTCTCCTAAATGATTATTGTTCCTGTGCCCCCTGAACAGACTTCTGCTGGCAGTTCCTCCTGCTCTCCTACACAGAGCTCGGCTCACTTAGAGCCCAGGTCAGACCCTGCTCCTTCTGAATCCCTTTCGCTCCACCCTCTGTCTATCCCAAGACTCTACCAGACTCAGCATCTGTCTCTCCCCAGATAATGTGCACACTCACTTCTGCTACTAGAGACAAAAACCCTTCAAAGCAAGAATGCATTTCTTTAAAGCCCAAAGAGGGTTAAAAGAAATCAATCACAAAGCTAGCAGTAATATTAAAAGGTGGCTCCTCTCAAAAACAAAAACCAAAAAACCCTCTGCAGGTCAGCCGCTGAACATGAGACACTCTCAGAGCTCGTAAACTTACTTTACATCTGAAGGTGCCACACCCCACCCAGCCTTCACTCACTGTAGAGCTACGCAGGGCTTCTTGTCCTGCATGGATTACTTCTGACCTCACTGGTTTGCCAAACAGCCACTCTCATTTCTCACTCTTGTCTGATCTGCAGATCCGCTACTATGACTGCACGGTCCTCGGAGGAGCAGGTGGCCAAACCCAGCACATGGGACATGTGACGCCCGGCCTTGGTTTCTTACAAACACCATTAGGTGACACCAAGGAACACCCGTTCCTTATGTTTTGCAGGTGGCTGCTTTTGCATCTCAGCAGCACAAAGGACAGACACAAAGGAGACTATGTGGCCTAGAAGGGCCAACATATATACAGTTTGCTAATCCTTGCGCTAATCTCCCCATAATCTGCTGCTCACTGATTAGAACAGAAGCTACCAGGAGGTAAGTTGTAAGGACCATGCAGAGCCAACTCCTGGCTCCTCTGCTCTCTGCTGTGTTTCCATGGGCAGACTGTCCACTGGCCTCCAGAGGCCAAGTCCCTACTTTCTATCTTTCCTACTGCATGATGCTCTCCAACCACCCCGACTTACTCTGATATCTGCCTTTTCCTCCTCTGGATTCTCTGAAACCTATCTTACATCCTTCTGTCCCTCCCTCTATCCGTCTCTTTTTTAAAATGCTGGTGCTAGAAGCCAGCGCCTAACCCATGCCAGGAGGGTGCTCTACTGCCGAGCTATTCCCATCCCAACATTTTCCATCTTCTGAAGGAATTACAACAAGGGGACGGGGCAGTGTTGGGGAGGTGGTTCAAATTCCAACACCCACATGAACATCAGGTGAGGTGGCTGTGTCTGTGACCCCAGTCGTTTGGGGAAGAAGAAGATGGGTGGATCTCAGGGAGCCACTGTCCAGTCAACCTAGCCAGGCAGTGAGCTTCAGTAAGAGACAGTGTCCCAAAAAGGAAGGCGGAGAGGGCCAACAAGATGGCTCACAGGCAAAGGTGCTTGCTGTACCAGCCTGATGACCCGAGTTCAATCCCTGGAGAGAACCAACTCTACAAAATTGTGTTCTGATCTCTACATATATACCAAGGCATGCTTACTCATAACACACGCACGCACGCACGCACGCACGCATGCACGCACGCACGCAGTTGGGAGGGCTGAGACAGAGGGAGATGGAGGGGACAGAGGAGGACAAAGGGAGAGGGCGACTGAGAGACTGACTGACCGATTGTAAAAGGTGGAGGAGTGACTGAGGCAGATACCCAGTATGGTCTTCTGCCCCTCTCAGGTCTTCCTTACACAACACTCCTCACGAGGGCAAGCAACATTATGTCTACACATTCTCTATCCATTTTCTCCTCAACTTAATCACTGATCATCTTTCCTCAGTGCCATTCAAAAAGGTTTCCTCAAGAACACCAGTGAGAGGCTGGCTGGCTGAGCAGGAAAAAGCACTCAGTGAGGGCCACTCCAGACAAACATGGCTGACGGGTTACGAGGTCTTGTCTAGACTGAAGTAGCCACCTGCTCACCCCATACCCAAACACACACTGCCACCCCCATCCTGCCTGCTTTTTTCTCCTCAACACTTAGCTGACACACGATATGGGTGTTTCCATTTACTGTGTGCCTCCCAGTCAGTATATACGCTCCTTCAGGGCAGAGCTTCTGTGACTGCTGTGTGTGTTAGACTGTCTACTCAGTTCCCAGACACCGCCTAGAACAATGCCCAACACAGGAGACTTCAAAGGGAATGTTTACAATGACCCTAAAGGAAGAAGCAAAGGTAAAATCGCTTAAAGTTAAAAATAAAATAACTGAAAAACTCATCTTGAAGCAGATCATAGACACGGATGTTCCTTACCTGAAGTTTCTATGTAGTAATGGGTTATAGCCTTCCAGTGATAAACAAAATCTTCTTGTAGCGGAAGAGATGGTGCAAGCTACACAAACACAGAAGACCAGACTTAGAGTGAGGCATTAAAGTCTCCTGCAAACTTCAACATTACACTTGTCTGTAATGCAAGAGAAGCGTCAAAATAAGGGTAAACTTGACTTTATGTCAGATATCAAATAAAAGCAAAATGAGTTAAATCCAACGAAGCAAAGCGATTTATTAAGAAAAACACCTTTAAAAATACTATTATTAAACTACAGCATTCAACCCCCCCCATGTCTGTTATCACATGGCTTCAAAAGGGACTAAACCAAAAAAAAACACCATTACCCCCTGACAGAGGTGACTGTAAAATCACATCACTGACAGATAATCAGAGGTCTCTGTACCTGGGACTTGGGAAAGGGAAAGGGTGATGAGTGGCTGTCAACAGCTTACACGTCAGCACAGCAAACACACAGCACTGCCAACGCCGTCATAATCAGATTAAACTTCTCCCTGCCTTCCATGGTTTTCTGATGTACATCTGTTTTCTTTGTAAGCCTGGGTCAGGCAGTGTATATTTTTAGCAAAATAACTACACGAACCATTATCAATCCAAATTCTACCAAATGGGTTACACTGCAACCTTTGAAATGCACTTCGTAAGTTTTAAGACCAGATTTGCAGCCCTTCTGCCACTTGCTGCAAGCAGAGGACCAGCATTAGGAATGCACGCTGAATGCAGAGGGAGGGGCACCCATCGGAAGTACAGCTAGCTACAGGAGGTGCAGTGCTGGAGGCTGACCGCTAAACTGAAGCGCCAAGCGTGCCCAGCCCTTCATCAAGAAGCCAGTTGCTCTCATGTACAAAGCTCACACTTGAGAGTGCAGCTTTTCTGAGTACACATATGTACACACACAATCATGCACACACAGGGATAAACACGCATGAACATATGTGCACGCATCCTTATCAAGTCTCAAGCCTATGGTTTTGTGTTGGGCTAAATTCACAGCGTCTCACAGCGCAGTTTGGGGACACCCACCACAAGACCTGCAGTCAGAGCCTCCTACACTTGCACTTGTATCATGCTGACCTTTGGTTTCCCAGCTAGTGACCTTGAAGCTGACAACTCTGTCAACACAATTTCTCAACTCTTATGCAACTTACTGGTCAGTCGCAGACATGTTAAGTAGCTCAATCCACAAGGCGAAATACATTTATGAAAAGAAAACGGAACTGAAGACTTTCAAGCCATCGTTAGCTTCCTAAAGCTGATCCTTCCTACATTTGTCTGTGTGCGGAGATTGGCGAAGAAAGTAGGAACGTGCAGTGTTGTGAAGGAGTCAGGCAGGCAGCTAAGCTTTGCTTAGCTTTGCAGAGTTACATTGACTAAAATGAGACAGACAGGAGGAGAAGACTGCGGTTGTAATGTAGTAACAATTTCTCCTTTAGGTGGTTACACAGTATCTTCCTCCAGCTTTGGCCCAGCAGCACCACGCTGCAGTCCCCAGACTGGAGGCTCCGCCAGGAGTGTAAGGGTAGCCTTGCCTTAGAATACCATCAAATCCCAGGCGGGATGGTGCTATTACTCCAGTGCAGGAGGGAACCAGCCGAACTGTTCTGAAATGCTAATAACTCAGACCATCGCATTCAAACATGAATACGTTTCTTACTTTGAGAGACTCCAGTCAACTTGCCTTTTCTCTTACATGAAAATGACCTGTTAGCATTACATAAAACTCATCCTCTGAAATGGATGTGTGAATCAGCCGCAGGAGACGTAATTTAATTTTTTAGTGTTCGGAGGTAAATTCTCAAAACTCTCATACCTACAGCCACCCTAAATTGCCAGGATACCTATCTGTGACTTCCTGTTCACCGATCTTGACTTCCTGTTCTCCTACCTGGGACTTCCTGTTCTCCCATCTAGGACTTCCTGCTTTTCTTATCTGGAACCTCTTCCTCTAGGAAGCTCCCCCTCTTCACTCTGAAGTGCCGACACTCTGAGGCTTCCTGCTAGCCCTGACTCCAACTTTACCTCTGCTTAAATGCTGGACCTGGACAAGGGCTGGGGTGGTACCATCTTTTTAATCATTTAGACTCCTGGCTTCAACTCAGTGATGGTGCCCAAACAGCACCAAAATATTCATTCCATGAAGAATGGGTGGCCCACCAGTTACTGGCATTTGATAAGTAGCCGTGCAGTCCAGCATTGCCCTGGCCACCCACACTAGTGAGTCTCTATTCATCGGTGGAACTAGTGCTCAAACCAAGGCCGAAGCAAGCACTCCACCATCAGGCCACACCCCCAGCCCTTTTTTTTTTTTTTTAAATATTGCAGCAGGGTCTCACTATATATTCCAGGTAGGCCTTGAACTTGAAATCCTCCTGCCTCTGCTGCCTGAGAGCTGGGATTACAGGTGTGTGCCACCCCCATCATATCCAGCCTAAAGCAGTATTAAATTCTCATTCAGATTTCCCCTTTGGCTCATACTCCCATCAGAGACCAAAACACCAGTTAGCTGACTTGCCTTAGGTAATGGTGCTTTTTGCTAGAAACCTGGACTTTGTCCACATGTACAATACACAAAAGAATCTCCACCAACAAACTGGACAAGACCTTCCAGCTACCACCTCTGCTTTAAAAGCCTCCGACAAAATGTACATTCTAAAAGATCTTTTAGAGTGCCCTTTTCAACCCCAAACCTATTTTGTCTTTGTGTTGTTTGTTTTTGTTTGAGACAGGGTCTCTCGTAGTACTAGCTGGCTTCAAACTCACTATGTAGCTGGCCTTGAATTCTCAGCCCTTTGGCTTCCAGCTCCTGAGGTTCCAGGAACTTCAGGATCCTTTTTCTGACCTCCACATAGCATACACTCGGTTCATATACATACATGCAAGCAAAACACTCATACACATGAAATAAAGTAAATCTAAAAAGGTTAAAAAAAAAAAGCCTTAAAAGGGGTAGGTACTGAGATGGGCCAACAGTCAAAGACACTTGGTGGTGTCTGACCACCTGTGTTTAATTCCCCAGGACTCACATGGTGAAAGGGAAAGATGTTCTCAGATTTCTCCTAATCAAGTACACACAAGAAACTAAACAGAAAACAAAGCACCACCAGCTTGTGGTCCAGCTCTTGAAGGGCTGGGACAGAAAGGTCAGGAGTTCAAGGTTATCTCTGGTTACTTAGCAAGTTTGAGGCCTGTCAGGGGACCTTGACTCAAAAACAAAACAAAAACCCCAAACTCCTTTCCTAACCTCATCTAGATGAATATATGTCTGATCAACCTTAAAAAAATAAAAAACAGAAGGCTTATGTGACTGAAAATGGGCACTTAGACCATGCTAAAAGGCAACATAGGATGGCATGGCTCTGAAGACACACACAATGTCAACGGAAAAGCTGTCCAGTCACCTGCAGGCCTGGGTCCCCTCCCAAGTCTGCAAACCCAGATGAGTCTCCTCATTAGAATGCTGCATCAGAACATAATTAAGGGATGGGAAGACTTGTTTATGGATAAAAAAAAAAAAAAAAAAAAAGGTCAACATAACCAGGAACTAATCTTGGTTATGAAAAACATTCAACTGCCAAAGGACGGCTTATTTATCATTATCTAGGAGTTTTTCTCAGGAGAATGGTGAAGGGGGCATCAAAAAAAAAATATTCTTCAAGGGATGAGGGATCAAGTCTATAATCCCAGCCCTTGGGAGATAAAGGCAGGAATATTTACAAATTTACAACTCTAATTTTGTTAGTTGACCCTAAAAATCAATGTTTTTTTTTTCCTTCTTTAAAAAGTCATGTGAATATGAAAGTGATTGGGTCAGGGCCAGCCTGGAGCTACATCAATGCCTATCTCAACAACAACAACAACAACAACAACAACAAAAGCAAAGAGGAACCAATCAGATTTCAGAAGATGTACTTTCTCTTGGTAAACTGTGTGGATGGCAGGACAGCTTAGAAACCAGCACTGAGCAAATGAACTTGACATTTACTCCTTGGACTAGGTGAACCTAGTGAACTCATTCTCCTCACTGACCCAACCAAGACAAAGACACTGATTATCGCTGAGTCTCACTCAGGTAATTTGGTAGATGTTAATGATACATGCAATTATAAAAAGATTACAACAACAGAAAACACAGGCCTTAGGACAAAAACAAGTCTATAAACCAAAAACCCTAGATAGGTTTGGTGACATGCCTAGAACTTAACATTCTAGAAGCTAAGCCAAGAAGTTCAAGGCCAGCCGGGGAAACTTGGTAACACTGGATCTCAAAAAATAAAACAGAATAAAATAAAAATCAGTGTGAGAACTTTTGCCCAGAACATGACAGGCCCCAGGGTTTAATCCACATAATTTACTTCTAATTATCTCTTATTTATCATTATACTGTTTGATGATTCTTTTAAGTATAATTCAAAATATCAACACAACGGTTGTTAAAACTCCTAAATTATCTTACAAATGCTTCTGCCGGCTGACTCTATATAAGCAGGCAAAGTAAAAACTGTGTCTTAAAGCCCTGTCCCCTCTACCCATATGTCAACACTGCTCCTCACCCCTTTCTTTCCTGGTTTGCTGTGTCACCAAGGGGGGAGGGGGGAAAAACAAAACAAAAAAAAAACTATTCCTTGCACTACATAACTGGCACTTGTATTAAAGTTTTGTCTCCATAGCCGAAATTTACAACTCTCATTTTGTTAGCTGACCCTTACCATCCACCGTGGTGCTTGTTTTTTTCCTTTAAAAACTCATTTGAAGTTGAAAATACTATTATTAAGTCATTGTCAACATGTAAACAAAATGTCATTTTCTTTTTAAGGTGAACACAGCAAGTTTCTTCACACACGGCAATACTCAACCCCAAAACGAGCAAGTAAAATAAAGCAACGGGCTGTGTTGAGCAAGGCGTTCTCTCTTTTAGGTTCTTGGGGGGGGGGGTCTGTTAGGAGGTTTGAGTAATGTCCCTCCCCGTGTGCCGTTTCAAGACCAGCCTCAAAGTACAGCGGTTGCAGGCTGCGCCAAGAGCGTCCGGGAAGCGCATTATTAGAAAATAAAAGGGAAACAGATGGTGTGAGCTGGGCGATCGCGGACCTACAAACTCCTGCAGATCCATCACCCAGGTCCTGCCGAGGTGGGCCGCCG